ATCCATCCATCCATCCATCCATCCATCCATCCATCCATCCATCCATCGTTGGGTCCTATAGCAACAGATCCATGAGAGACATCCAGATCTTCGTCTCCTCAGAGACCCCCTCCAGCTCCCTCTGGGGGACCCCAAGGTTTTCTCAGACCAGAGAGGATTATATAATCCCTCAGGCTAGTTCTGGGTCTGCCCCGGGGTCTYGCCCCAGTGGGACGTATCTGGAAAACCTCCAAAGGACAACATCATAATCAGAAGACTGAATAACTTCTCTCATTTTCTCCCCTTTTTAAAAATTTAGGCCAAAATGTGTTTTGTTTTTTATTTTTGTTTGTTTGTTTCTTGTATCTTGTAGGTTATATTTTTGTAGCTAAAGTCTTAGATATTCAAGTCGTCCTGACGCACCCGTCCTTCTAACTCACAGGCTGTCGATCGCAGGACATGACTTTTTGTCTAGTAATAAATTAAAGCTGAACATTTTTTTAAAAGCTTCAGGTTAGAGCTACACAAATCATCAAAAACTGTCACCTAAAAAACAATTTGAGGTGAACTTTTGTGTTTTATTGAGGAAATTAACCTATTTATTTACATAGRAGGGGGCGGGGCTTAAAGCTTACATAGAACCAGCCACTAGAGGGCGCTCATCCTTCAGGGCTTCAACTTCCAGCTTCCATCCATCTTGTTAATGGTAGAACTTTGTAAAGACTGGTTGTTTGTTTCACTGTCAGAAACTATAAAACAAAATTTAAAAGAAAATTTTTTTAACTTCTTCTTCAGCCTTGTTTTACTTTCAGATAAGTTTGAATCTGAATTTTAAAAACTAGACGAACTCATGCACATTAACCAAAAAAGCTGCTGCTCTTCTTCATAATGAGGGGATGAGGAGGAGCGGGGCGGGGCGGGGGGCCGGCAGGGGAGGGGCGCAGGAACAGGAGGGGCCCACTGGCTGCACCTGTACCTCCGTATAAATGCCAGTGAATGCAAGAAAAGCCCTTAACAAGAACAACAACAGCCTCCTCTCATCCCCCTCTTCTTTTCAGGAGGAGTCTATTAGCAGGAAAGAGGCTCTGCCAGAGAGTGAAGAGGAGAGGAAAAAAGGGGGATGGCGACTTAGAGAAACAGGGACCCCCGTGTTCGAACCCCCGATGCCAACTCGGACTATAAAGAGGCGACAAAGCAGCTAAGTGGTCAGGCACGGCGAGGGATAAAAAGGATGGGGGAGGGGGAGGGGGGGCAGAAAGTGATGAAGAGGGGAGACCTGGAATATTAAAAAAAAGAGTCCAGTAATCAAAGCTAATGGCTCCATTGTGTCTCGAAAGCATCTGATAGCTTCAGAGTGCAGCTCTGAGTGTGGAGAGGTGTGGTCAGTGTGTGTGTGTGTGTGTGTGTGTGTGTGTGTGTGTGTGTGTGTGTGTGTGTGTGTGTGTGTGTG